ATTACTCAAAATTAAAGCGTGCTTTTGTGTTAAAGTCCAGAGAACAAATATAATGATTACCAACTCATTCTTATTTATCAGGATTAGACACACAAATAATATTTAATCTTTTCTTCTTTATCCCCATTTTACAGATCAGGAAGCTGAGGCTCAAAGAGGTGACAATAACTTATTTCATGTCACATAGCTGGCAAGTAACAGAACCACAGTTCAAAACAGCTTTTCTTTTTCAAATCTGAGGTCTTCCCTTTCCATGTCCCCTCTGTTGGCTGCTTTGATTTTAAGCCACAGAAACTGCAACAAACTGGAGTAAATGATAAGGGTTTATTGTGTGATTTCAAGTGTCATCCCTGGCTTCCCTGGCTTGTTGGAAAAGTCTCAGGCTGGCTTCGGCTCACGTCCCTCAGTCCCATCCAGGGAGGGCGAGTGTGAAGCTGAACCATCTGCCGAACAAGTGTCCCGATCCTGGGCTCCCCTTGGACCAATCTCTGGACTAGTCTATGGGCTGAAGATGGAACTAATCCTCAGAAGTCATCACTAGAGCTGGGAGTGGGGTTAATGCACCCAAATGAACTGTTGTCACATAAAGGACAGAAGGATGCTCCCTCCGGAAAGGAAAATGGAGGGACTTTAAGGAATAACAAAAAAAAATGGAAGAATGAATATTTTGCAGGCAAACGATGCATTTACTTCACCACCTTCATACCCACTCATGACAGGGTGAAAGACGCACCACTAGCAGCATGAACCTCGAGGGTGAGGCCCCTGACTGCGTGCTCTAAGGTTGTGGGGAAGAATTGCTCAGGGTACACTATGCACACCTGTCTTAAGCAAGCATCTTTGGGTTCTTGCCTGCATGTTAGGCATTATTTATTTATTTTTAAATCCTCACCCAAGGATATTTTTCCATTTATCTTTGGATCGAGTGGGAGGGGGAGAGAGAGAGAGATTGATGCAAGAGAGACACACATCGACCCATTGCCTCCTGCAGGACCCTGACCACAGCCGGGGATCAAACCCCGAAACTAAGATATGTGCCCTTGCCCAGAATCAAACCTGAGACTCTTTGGTCCTCGGGCTGATGCTCTAAGCGCTGAGCCAAACCAGCCAGGGCACATTAGGCATTATTAAATGACTAGATATCAGCCTATCGAGGCAGGACCTTCCCAAAATGTACTCGAGCATTTCCTGGGGGCGAAATTTGCACTTTCTAAGGAAAAAGTAAAGGGACTAATAGTGACCCAGGCTTAGTCTTTACAACCCAAATTTAATCTTCTCCTGTCTGCCAACCTCCAATGTCTGTGTATCAGGCTCCCCACCACCCATCTCAGCATGCACAGTGGGGTGCTATGTGTCTGCATCTCCATGAGCCCGCGGTCTGTGTAGGGAAGGACTGTTGTTCACCCATCTTTGGCCCTCAACCTGGACAGGGCTGGGTTTAAGCCTCGGGAATACTGATCCTCCCCTTCAACCAAATGAGAAAGTGAACATCTGCCCCGTAGGGTATCTGTAATATCAGGGAAGGAAAGGGCTACCTCTTTCCAGTGTTCATTCATTCTAAGACGCACATTCTCTCATAGTTTAACACCTCTGAAACTGAGAGCCATTCTTGCAACGAAGTGAGTGTTTGTGTGTCCCCCAATTTCATATGTGGAAACCAAGGTGAAGGGATTAGGAGGTGGGGCCTTTGGGCGGTGCTTAGGTCATGGACTGGAGCCCTCATGAGCGAGACCAGTGCTCTTAAAGAGACCCCACAGCACTCCCCAGCCCTTTGGCCACATGAAGTTACAGGCAGAAGGCACTGTCCGGGAGCCCCAAGCAGGCCTTCACCATGCACTGAGTCTGCCAGCACCTGTTCCCAGCCTCCAACATGTGAGGAACACTTCTCTGTTGTTTACAAACCATCCAGTGAATGGTATTTTGTTATAGCAGCCCAAACGGACCGAGACAGTCCTGCAATCCCACAAACCCTGTACTCTACCTTACATAAAATAACGGTGACTCTTACAGTCAAAGGTAGTCAACAAAATATGATGTTACCAATAGCCATGCAGTATTCTGCCTCTAACAAATGCCCAAGAAGCCTGCCTAAGAACCAAGTATTCAATTTGTCAACCTCAACAGGTTCCCTTTCCTTTCCCGACAGCATCCTGGATGCCGTTAGTCATTCCCCATCCCTCTTGTACTTTCAAGGTATCCCAAGATTTTTTTAACAAATCATTTTTATTTTTGTTTTCACATATACTAGTTACAGTATTTCATACAGTACTTAATCTTATTTGTCTTTACTTTCCATTAGCTGCTCACCATCACCACTGAGCTGAAAGTAATGGGAAGAACTTTGCACTGTTTTGGAAAGAATAATTTTTGCTTTAGTCCAGTTTTGCCACTAATTAGCTACATGTCTAATCTCTGTCATCTGCAAAATGGGGGTGCCAATTTTGCAAGGTCCAATGGGATCATATATGTGAAAGTCCTTTACAGTTACTGTATTGTGGAGTCTGATGGACAGAAAGACCTTGTTCCCCTCTGTCATTTGGCCAGTGTTGGACAGCTTCCAATGACAACGCTTTAGGAAAAAAGGGTGTCTTTCGAGATGTGTTTGATTACTTCCTATATTCACTCACATGATCACTGGGATGCTTTCTGTTCTGGAAACATCTATAAGACATGGAAAACAAAGTGACTAATTGTTACATTTGAGTGTACCCAGTTTCCAGTAAGAATGTGAACTCCATTGCTTTAAATGTCAGTGTTCCCCTTGACTTTGCTGGTTCCAGCAGGGACTGCTTTGTTTGCGGGGCCACGAGGGGCACCTCACCTTGAGGTTTGTTAAGACAGCACAAGCTTTGATTTGAGATCGAGTCTTTCAGTTGACTTTTGAGAGACAAGCTCCCTTGTGTGTTTGGCATTAAAATAGTAATAATTTATTTGTGTGTTTTCTTCTTCTTTTTAACTTTCTGCTTCCCCCTACGTTGCACAGTATTAAAACTGAGATAGTCTTTTACTTGGCTTTAAGCTTAAGTCATGGAGTGGGAGTACAGTGGACATTAGGGCACTAATAGTGACTTAGCACCCACTCTGTGCTAGTTTAGGCACGTCACCTCGTTTCTCTAGACATCTCACAGTGATCTGAAAATGTTCCGTGTTTTGTATTTGAGATGAAGACACTGAGGCGATTTGTAAGAGATCATGACAGAACCGAACCCAAACCTCCTGAACATAGACTCCCTCCCCCATAAAAAAACATTTGTTTTTTGTTTTAGACTTTTGGTTTTGTCTGTGAATAAGAAAAAAGAAGTGAAAACATAATATTTGAAAAAGGATTTGGTATTGTATTTTCAATTCTCTTAAACTGGAGATCATCTTCCACTTTCTGTATGTTTTCCTTTCATGTTTATTCCCGAACATGAACTTGTCAGTGAATCATTTTCCTTTACACTTTTCCCAGAACAATTCCAGATTCTTACGGCATTACAGAATAAGTCTAGCTAAAGGCATTCCCTAAAGCAGACAGCCTTAGGGAGGAAGTGGAGGACAAATTACATGAATGAGTTAGTACAAAGCTGCTAGTGAAACCTATACAGGTAAAAGGCAGAGGGAATAATTTGCTCACCAAGCTATTTCGTACCAACTACCAAGAAGTAAAAAATAAAGAAGTGTAAGTTATTTATTTAAATTGCAAAAGGTTACGGAGACTTAACTTAAAGAGGAAAACAAAAACAAATTTTTGGCCCTGACATTTGTTTATAAGCACAAAGAAAGAATTTATTTTTTGACGTCGGAGCGTGTTTTCCTTAGATGATGGAAAAAGATTACATTCTACATAGGTCAAAGTTAATCTGTGATTAGCATTCCTAAGACACAAGTCTTATAATGTATGACATCTTTTTCATTTCACAACTCTTTTGCTTGTTTTTCATGTTTGATTATTGTATTGTTTTATTACTTTTGTAGTAAAGTTTTTTTCCTACTCTACTAAAAGTTTTTTTATTACTTTTCTCTCTAAAGAATAAAGAAAAGTTCTCTTTGAGAAGTCTTGGTGTAAGAAAGGGGGAAATTGTCTGTGAATGAATCAGATTTCTTAGATTCATAGATACAGGAAACATCATGGTTTCTCACAAAAACCATAATACTTGAAATGATGTAAGAATATAAATGGAAATGAAATTTCCAGAATAATTTTTGATTACCAACAAAAAATGTTGCAGAAAATATATTTGGAGAGAAAGGTGGAAGAAGATGTGTATGCAAAGTTAGGCAAGCACTTTATTAAAAGTGGAAGTTATTTCTAAGACATCACTAAGAGAATTTCTTGGGGAAGTCTGCCTTAACAGAGCAGAGCCTCGTTCAGATACGATTTCCCCGCCTTGGCACATTCGTTGATTGCCTCTTCAGCGAAGCAAAGTGGCATTTTCCTCGGGCAGGAAAATCCCATTATGAAATGCTGCAGAAAGAAAAGGTGTTTCTTTGGTCATATCTTGACTTTGAGGGCCTCTGTGGCGGCGGGGACTGGTGTCCCGGAATAAATAGAGCGAGGGCTCCCTGGGCGAAGTCAGGGTGACTGGCGCGCGCTGCGCTGCTGAGACCCGCTTGCTGCACACGGAGCGCCCTTCGTCCCCTGCCTCGTTAGTGACAATGCACACTCGCTAACGTGTCCCCAGACTTTAGGAAGCCGAGTTTGGGGCCAGGAAAGGTGGGAGCGGCTGCTGGGCCGCGGGGCCCCAGAGCACCTGCTTCTCCGCTCGCTCCCAGTCGGTCCCGCGGGCTGGAGCCGGTGCCCCGGGCGCCGATGGCGGGGCGCCCCGCGGAGAGCGTGCCCCACCTGGGCCTGGGAGGCCAACACCGCCCCGCGGGGAGGGGCTGCGCGGGGGCGGGGGCCGCGCAGGGGCAGGGCCGGGCCGGGCGGTGCGTCGCCAGCTCTCGGGCGGCTCCGGGCCTCGGTTCTCCGGGAGGTCAGCACTTGTTCCGAAGCTGCGCGTCGCAGGCGCGGCGGAGCGCGGGCCATGAGGATCCTGTGGCTGGCGCTGTGCGTGCTGCAGCGGCTGTGGCCCGCGGCCCTGGCCGGTTGCGCCGAGGCGGGGCGCTGCTGCCCCGGCCGGGACCCCGCCTGTTTCGCCCGCGGCTGGAGGCTGGACCGGGTCTATGGGACGTGCTTCTGCGACCAAGCCTGCCGCCTCACCGGAGACTGCTGCTTCGACTACTCCAGGGCGTGCCCAGGTGGGTGGCGGGGCCGGGTGGGGCGCGGACCGTTCGCCCGCAGCCCAGGGGCACAGGGTCCCACACCAAGGATCACAGCTCCCAGCCCCTTCCATCCTGGCGGCTCCAGTCCCTCTGTCCTGGTCCCCAGCCCCTGTCCACCCAGGTACGCCCAGCTCCTTCCATCCCAGGGGCCTCCAGACCCTTCCACCCAGGTACACTCAGCTCCGTCCTGGAGTCGTCCATCCAACCAGTTTCATGTGTCCAGGGGCGTCCAGCCCTCTGTCTCTGTGCACCCTGGGCTCTTTACCCCAGGTCCCTCCAGTCCCTTGCCTCTAGACACACCGCCCCAAAGCACCCCTCCCACCAGAGTCCGGAGGGAAGGTGCCGCGGCCGTCTGTTCCCCAGGGCAGGGGCACCTCCGCGGATGAACTCTTCCACTCAGGAACTCCAGCTTGGCAGGGCTGCCTCCTGCCTGGAGAGGTGGCACTGGCAGGTCCCGGGTCGCCCCTGGGCCGCGTTCCACCCACTTTCATTCTGTTGCTCCTCAGGGATCTGAGGGCTGGGTGAGAAGTAATGAGGGAAGGAATGTGAAATGATCCCACGCTGTGCCAAGGGCTCGCTCTGGGGACAAGTCCTTGGAGGAGCACAGGGTCCTGCCTCCTTCCTCCTGCACGCAGCGCGCACGGCCCTTGCTTACGGGAAGGGTTCCATCTGCTCTCTGAATTCGGTTTTATCTAGATAGCTTGATAAATCTTTTTATCTCAGTTTCTATTTTGTTTTAGTCTTGCTGGTTTTTCTTTAGGGTCGGTCTTTCTCATCTTTACATTTCCCACAGTTTCACAGCCTCTAGTATGGGCTCAATAAATGTATATTTAGTTAAACTAAAAGGTGAAGGACGAAATGGTGAGTGTAGTCTGAAAGAACAAGGTGTGGCTCCGCTGGTGTGGATCCACTCCATGGACTGACAGGTCCCGGTTCGATTCCGGGGTGGGCTGGTGCCTAGGTTGTGGCTCGATCCCCAGTAGGGGGCGTGCAGGAGGCAGTCAATCGATGTTTCTATCAGTGAGTATCGCTGTTTCTCTCTCTCCCTTCCTTTCTTTCTAAAAATTTTTAAAAATTAAAGAAAGAAAGAAAAGAACAAGGTGTACTTGAGTGAAGCCAGCTCCGGAAATAAAAGTTGCCTTTCTCCTTGTTAATCCCGTCACCCCCAAAAGCCACACATTGTTAGGGTTTGACATCAAGGATCCTGTTGTTGTGGGGTCCTCAGCATCTTCTTGGGAGAGTAACCTGCAAGGCTCTGCCATTCCCTGGAGAACTGGGTGCCTGGTAGAGAGTCACACCCTTCTGCAGAAAGAGGTCACCCAGGCCTGCGGCTGAAAGAACATAGTTGAAAAACATTAAGATTTTTTAACCCTGATCGAAAGCTAGTGATTTACCTACCAGTACTGATCTCCGTTTTGATAAGCTTCTTCCCTTTCCCGCTCCAAGGCCAGAGCATTTTACCACTACTGTGAGGTGAAGAGTCAGTTGTTTAGGAAATGCAGTGCCCGGGGCCAGCTGTCCCAGCCCGGTCCTCGGCAGCCCCACCCTTCCCAAGCCTGTTTTCCAGTTACCTGGACCTCCAAGAGAACCTGTCCTCTACACGGCCCCTCTGGCTCAACCCCCTCCCTCGATGGGCTTGACTGCATTTAAAACGTAAATACAGACTTCCTGTAGTTCAGATCTTGTGCCTCCAAACTGTGGCAAGCACGGGAACACAGAGATGATGAAGGCACAGTCTCTGCCCCTAGAAGTTCATAATGGAGCAGAGAAACAAATGTGTGCAAAACCACTTGCGACATGCTTGATACAAAGTTGAGGGAGCTGGAAGCTAGAGAAGAAAAACTGGGAAGACCAGAGGAATTTAAGGAAGACTTCCCAGAGGAAGGGACAGGCAAGCCTAGTCCTGGCGAAGGAGCGAGGGGTCTCTAAAGGGGGAGGGAATTCTGGGAGGATTCCAGCAATTTCCTGTGGGTGTTGGCCTTTTGTGCTAGGTGCTAGGCTAGGCCCCGAGGCCACCCTGGCACACAGGACAGACCCGGTGAACACAGCTAGATGTGGAGATTTGGGCAGAGAGGCATAGAGAAAGATAAAGCCGGTGTCCTGAGAAGAACTGGCTTTCTAGTGAGGACTAACATGCTCTGAGCAGTTGCAGAATCCTCAAAGCCTTTATTTGGTCAAAAAGAAATCCCTGATTTTCAATCCAGGAAGTAAAAATGTTCTTTAAAAAGCCCATCATTTTGGAGTGGGGATTTAATGAGTAAGGAATAGCAGACGACCGTACCATCTCTGGAATGACTCAGAAAGAAATCCAGCCTAGCAGAAGACTCGGCCGAAAAGGCCGGTCATTAGCAAATTCTCTGCACCTGCAGCTTTTTGGGACAGGAAGGAGAAAATAGAAACAATTGGAAGTTGGCTGGCTGGCCAGACTGAACCTGCTGAGCCCTCAGAGCTGAGTGTGAGAGTAAGGACACCAGGGAGCTGGGATGCTGGGTCACCTCAGCCTGGACAAGCGACATCCCTGAGTTGACTCTGGGGTCTGGAGAGGGTGGAGTTGGTCTGCATTAGCATTTCACAGCTACGGACCGAAACTGCAGGGTTCTGGGGGCTCTGCTGTCTCTAAGTTACACGAAGGGACAGTCGAGGGAGAGCTACGCCCAGGCTGCTCGAGTTCAGGCTGCCAGCAGCCACTTCTGTGTGGGCCAGTGCATGGCTGATATTGATTCCCGGATCAATCAAGGCTCAGTACTGCAGAGCCCCTGGCGACTCCACGGACATAGAGCTATTCTGCCTCTTAGACTGTCTTCGTACTCAGCGCTGAGTTACTTACTGATGCCGTCGGAAGCCTTTTTGGCTGAAATGGCATAAATGGGAACAGAATATGAAACTGTGTCAGAACTCAGCATGCCTTACTTCTGCTCCTTCAGACTTTTCCATCCTCATAAACATTATTTGGGGGGGGGGGTATAGCTAAAAGATGAAATACTGGAATTTCTTTTTCTAAACAGAAAGTTACTTTTTTTTTCTCAGTAAAAATAAAAATAAACTATTGGAGCTATAGAATTACTAAGCTGTCAAAAACAATCTGTTCTGAAACTAATTATCTCAGAAATTCTCATGAAGATGATGGCATGGGTTTTAATACCAATGATGCATCTTCACACACACACAGCCCCCCAAAAAAGATAGAAAAATTTCCTTTGGCCTGATTGGTGGTGGGGGAGGGGGGCAGGTGAAGGAGGGGACAGACCCACGTTACCTGCCCTGGATGAACTTCTGGGAAGGAGGCTTATCAGGCTCAGAGGCCCCCAGTCTCTAATTCGTCAGCCGGGCTCCTAGCTCCTTCAGTCTCAGCTCAGAGTCAGTGGGTTGCACTAGACCTTGGATGAGCAACTTGAGGAAAGAGAAATAATTAACCCATGTGGAGAAGGACAAAACCTTCGTGGCCTAAATGGACCAGTCTCTTCTAGATGTATAGGGAATGTAGGAAACTAAGTGGCCAAATCTGCTGGCCTCGTATCTAGAGGAAGAGGGGGCATCTTGCTTGAAAATGTGGGTTCTGAATCTTCCCCAAAGGATGTTGCAGTCTTTGATGATTTAGAAAGTTGAGGCTTCACTGGAGCCAGAGTGGCCAAGGGACAGCATGTGGCTTCGCCTGCTTTTGTCTCTGCAGAAAAACTCGCGCAGGGCCTGGCACCAGTATTCAGCTGGCAGGATGTGGCTGCAGCCTGGGTGCGCAGTCAAGGAGGGTAAAGTCATCCAGGCTTACCCAGCACTTCCTCTGTGCCATGGGCACCTCACAGCTCTAACTAATGTAGGTCTCACACCCGCCGAGGTTACAGGCGTACCTTGGTGACATTGAGGGTTCGGTTCTAGACCACGACAATAAAGCAAGTCATAATCTTTTTGGTGGTAAAGGACCTTGCCTTCAAATTTTTTAAAAAATGCAACATCTGCGAAGCACAATAAAGTGAAAGCAAGAAAATGAGGTATGTCCGTATTCTTCATTCTGGTCTCATTTGATGGACAAGGTATTCAGGGGACCAGGTCAGAGGTTAGGCAATTTGTCCAAAATCACACCACTGATAAGTGAAGGGGATCTGAACCCAGGAACTCTGGATCCAGAACCCGCACTTTTAAACAGTATGTGTTTGGTGCCTCAGAAGAATGAGGCTTTAGGAGAAACAGTGTGCTTTGCAGAGAGGACCAGGTCATCCGGTGAGCAAGTGAGCCTTCTCCCTCCATCGACGGTGTGTTCCTCAAGGGCAGCAAGTGTGTCCTGCTCCTCTTTGCCACCCCCTGATGGCTATCATGGTACCTTGATAACATTTGTCAAAACACATGAACCTCATTCCACCTAGGGGACGTTATCTGTGGCTTCCAAGGGCACTGCCTGCTGGGGCGTATCCACATGCCCTTTTATTTTAATGTTTAATTTATTTATTTTTGTTAATCCTCACCTGAGGATATGTTTCCATTGATTTTTAGATAGAGTGGAAGGGAGGAAGGAAGAGAGAGAGAGAGAAAAACATTGATGTGAGAAAGATGCATCAACTGGTTGCCTCCTACATGACCCTGACCCGGCCAGGGATCGAGCCTGCAACCCACGTACATGCCCTGGACCTGGAATCGAACCTGAGATTCTTTGGTTTAAGGGCTGATGTTCTAACCACTGAGCCAAACCTGCCAGGGCTCCACGTGCCCTTTTAAAAATAACATTTTTCTTCCTCGACCACAAAATATATGTTGCAGAAAATTCAGAAAATGTAAAAATGCACAAAAGAAGAAAACAATGCACCCAGAAACGTATTACTCAGAAAAAGCATCATTATCTTTTTAATTCTCCGCCCTTTTCTTTCTGGGTTTTCGTGGTGCATAAAATTCCATTTTTCTCACGAGGCAGCCCATTGCATTGTCTTGCTAACATTTCATGTACTTGTCCAGTTAATGTCTTGAAAGAAAGAAAAAAATATGTACAG